AGATAAGCTCTTTCACAATACGGAGTCAATGGGAGTAAAGCAGAGACGATAAGGATCCTTATAGTTGAAACGGCAAAGAAGTGACTGCACGGGATCTTGTACCAGAAGGTTCTCAAAATGCTTGGCCATTGTCTTTGTCCAAACCACGTGCACTGTGGGCTGGAAACCGCCGACAGAAATGAGTGGTCTTCCTCCAAGCTAAGTAGGGCTGGGAGAAGGGCAGGCTGAGAGCCTGTGAGCTGTGAGGTGGCCCTTTGGCTCTTCACGTGTGATGGGGCGAGGCCACGTGTGAGTTTATGGGCATCACGTCCTGTGACCTGGATGCTCCTCACCGCCTTACTCAATATCTAAGCCGCCCTTCTTCCCTGAAATGAACCCTTTAGCCCCTGTGACCATGAAGCACCAAGCAAGAGCCAACATATGAAAGATGGAGGAGTAGAAATCCACCAAGAGTTTGGGTTTCCAGTGATGCTGTGGAGGAGATGAACCAACACAAGCCACCACCTGCTCCTCAACTTCTCGGTGAGACCAGAAGAGCCCACGTGGTTGCAGTCGACACATTTCTACATGACCTCTATGCTGCCCTCCACTACTGTGTGATCCAGCAAATCTACTTCCGGGTACTTATCCAAAGAAAATGCAAACACTAACTTGAAAAGATATTTGCACCTCCATGTTCATAGCAGCACTATTTACAATAGCCAAGACATGGAAACAACCTAGGTGTCCACTGACAGATGCACGGATAAAGAAAATATGAGAGACAGATAGATAGATAATAGATAGATGATAGATAGATGATAGATTAGATAGACGATAGATAGATAGAGATAGATAGATGGTAGATAGATGATAGATAGATAGATAGAGGGACATTGTTTACTCATAAAAAACAAGGAAATCCTGCCATCTGCAACAATATAAATGGACCTTGAGGACATTATGCTAAGTAAAACAAGTCAGACACAGAAAGAGAAATACCATATGATCTCACTTATACCTGGCATCTAAAAAAGTCAAACTCATGGAAGCAGAGAGTAGCATGGTGGTTGCCAGGGGCTGGGGGTGGGGCGATGGGGAGAGGTTGGTCAAAGGGCACAAGCTTCCAGTTAGAAGGCGAGTAAGTTCTGGGATCTAATGTGCAGCGTGGTGATTGTATGACTAATACTGTATTGTACACTTGCAAGTCGCTAAGACAGCAGATCTTAAACGTTCTCACCACAGGAAAAGGGTGATGATGTGAGGTGAGGGCTGGGGGAACTAACTAACCCTAGTGCAGTACTCAGTTCACAGTATACATGTGTGTATTAAACCATCACACTGTACACCTTAAATTCGCGTGTTGTTATGTCAATAAAGCTGAAAAGAAAAAATACCCCCTCAAAACAGATTTACTCCATGGGGTCTAGAAACTGCCACTTCCAGTAGATGCAGGAGACCTAAGAGCTGGGTCGGGCGGGACGGGTGGAAACAGGCAGGATGACAGAACACCCACGGCAAGAAGTGTCTCCCAGGTCCCTTTGCCGGGATGAAAGCATTCTCCATTCCTGAGGTGCGTGCTTGTGAGTCAGGCCTCACGTGCACCAGCGCCTCAGCAGAGGGAGCCGGGCCCCCAGGAAGAGCAGACGGGGCGGGGGCAGGGTCAGCAGGAGGCCAGGGGGTGCTGGGGAGCCCCCTGAAGGTCCTGGCCTGTGAGGTGGGAGGTGGCAGAGAGTGGAGTGTGGAGGAGCCCCAAGGAGCAGCCCATCTGCTGCAGGAGAGAGAGGGCGGGGGAGCTGCGGCAGAAACCCCACGACACGCCCCCTTTCGGTCCTAGAGGCGCAGGTCCGAGATCAGGGCGTCGGCGTGTAGGTGGGGCCTTGTCCAGGTCGTGGATGTCCCCACGCGGGGATGGAGGAGACACAGCTCACCCGTGTCTGCCATCAGAGCACGGACCCCGTTCACCTGGGCCCCACACTCAAGACCTCACTGCCCCCAAGAGCCCCCCAAAACACATGGGGGTTAGGATCTCAGATTCATGGATTTGGGGGGACACACACATTCAGACCTCAGCAGTTGTTACACGTAAGCACCTGGTAAAGTCACAGGTTGACCCCGAGTTTGTAGGCTGGGGGTGATGCACCCCAACTCCATGGGGACAGGAGCTCCCAGGGACCCCGAGATCTTGTGCTCTGTGCCCTATTTTCTGGCTGTTCATCTGTGTCCTTTATCAAATCCTTATCATATAAGGAGCCGATGGGCGTGCTTCCCTGGGTTCTGAGACCCCAGCACAGGGACATGCGCCCCGGCCTGGGAGCTCCCAAGTCTCGCGTTACTGGGAGTTTGACGGAGGCTCCATCATGCTGCGAGGGCGCGATCCGTCATTAACTCGATCTCCAGCCCTCTCTTCTCCGAGGAGAACGAGGGTGGGGCTGGAAGTCCCAAGCCTCTGACCATGGCTTGGTCCTCCTGGTGACCAGCCCTGTCCAGGACCACCCAGAGCTGCCTCGTTTGGACAAACATGCTCCCATCACCCAGGAAACCCCAGGGGGGTTAGGGGCTCTGTGTCAGGAAGTGGGGAGAAAGACCAAATACCAGAGCAAAAGATGCTCCTGGCACTTTCATTGCTTAGGAAATCAGAGAGGTTTGGGAGCTCTGGCCAGGAGCTGGGCATGAAGAGCAAGCATGTACTTTTTATCATAACATCACAGAAGGTCAGGGGGCTGGTCCAGTGACTGGGGTGCAGTCTGGTCCAGAGCAGAGGCCAGGACGCACGGGAAGATGGGAGTCACCTTCTCCAAAGAACTCTTCCCTGATGACCCAGGTCCCCACCCCCAAAACCAACCAACCAACCAACCCCCAGCTGGCTTACCCACCACCTCCTGGAAACCAGCTTCCAAAGTTCTCACACGACCGGGATGGCTTCTTAGAATAGCTAGTTCAGGGCTTCCCTGGTGGCGCAGTGGTTAAGAATCTGCCTGCCAATGCAGGGGACACGGGTTCGAGTCCTGGTCCGAGAAGATCCCACATGCCGTGGAGCAACGAAACCCGTGTGCCACAACTACTGAGCCTGCACTCTAGAGCCCATGTGCCACAACTACTGAAGCCTGTGTGCCTAGAGCCTGTGCTCTGCAATGAAGAGTAGCCCCTGCTCACCTCAACTAGAGAAAGCTCGCGTGCAGCACCAAAGACCCAACGCAGCCAAAAATAAATAAAAGGGACAGCTAGTTCTACTAAATGTCTCACTTCTGATTAGCGGATTCTCTTAACCCCAAAGGCTGCTACCAAGAAAGAGAAATTCACTTCACAGGCTGGACCTGAAGTTACAAGAAAGGGCTTTGTAATCGTAAGGCCTCTTCTCATAAGATCACAAATGGGTTCAAAACCAAACTGCGTTTACATGTTGAAAACCCAACGTTTCGAGTTGCCTGCTCACGAAGCAATTCTCAAAAGGCGACGTTTCAGATGCACAAAGCCTGAGCCCGACTGAGGTCGATTTCTGAGTCCTGACTGTGAGGGCGGCCTCACAACTCTGGGGCCCCGGGCCCCTCCTCCTCAAGCCACAGAGCTGGTGGATGGCCAGTATCTTCAGAGGCAAAATGATAAACAACAGTCTCCTAGGTGGTAGGTAGGAAATGAACTAAGACTCCATCTCGGACACAATTTACTAACGGTTCCCCGGGGCCCAGAGGCCAAGGGGGACAGGCTTTGACTCTGGCCTGCAGTCTCAGGGCCCCCGCTCCCAAACCCCTTTCCGAGAAAGGAGGGCAGAGTGGGGCCCACCTCCCAGTGGGGCTGTGATGACCCGCGAGGGGCTCGGCCGCTGACCCCGTCCTGCGCACGTCCTCCAAGCTCAGGAACTGTCTTATTACTGTTGGGGGTTGAATTGTGTCCCCCAGAGCCGTGGGGGTCCTGCCCCCGCACCGTGAACGTGACCCTATGCGGGGAGGGGTCTTTATACCTGCGCTTGAGTTAGAGGGGGTCCTGGCGGCGGGTCCTAATCGAGTGACAGGCGGACAGCGACACAGGGAGCGGGGGTGGGGAGGGGTCTGCGGCCGACAGCCCCCGGGGAGGCCCCCTGCCGGCACCGTGACCCCCGGACCCCGGCCTCCAGAGCAGAGACAGAGCGCGCGCTCCCGCGTGGGCCCCACTCGCGGGGCCGTGTCCGGTCCCAGCAACACGCTTGGCGAACACCCGGGGCGCTTGGCCACCGCCCGGGAGGGAACACGCAGCAACACACCTGGGCCGGAGGCGCTCGCGCGGCCCCGACGCTTTGTTAACCTTTCCTCCCGCAGAAAAGTCACCTGGTCCCCAGGACGTGGCCCTCCCGGCACTGATTCGCGTCCAGGACACCCGCACAGATTCTGTCCCCTTCATCCGGCCCGAGGACGGAGCCCTGGGCTCAGTCCCACAGGCGTCCGTGTGAACTCTGCACACCGGGGCTCCGACCGACCGGCCCGCACGCAGCGCTCGGCGATGAGGCGACTTTGAACCCACACTCCTGCTTCTGCAGCCCAGTCACTGTGGTCCTCAGGGGCTCCAGCCTCCCTCCCTCCCCAGGCGCTGACGCCAGCGGAGCCGCCGGGCTGGCCCCCCCCTTCTGAGGCCCCCCGGGGCCCCGGCCCGGGGGGGCTCCCCCCCGCCGGGGGCCCCCCCCCCCCCCCCCCCCCCCCCCACGAAGAATCACCCATCAGGCACGAGGCCGAAGGAAACCAGCACGTGTCCCACCAAAGGGCCTCTGGGACATAACTTCACTTTGAGCTGAAGCTGATTAAGCAGCAGCAAAGGCAGGGAAAGCTCTCTTCTCTCCCAGCCCCCCCACCCCGTGTCCCCCTCCCAGAGGGCTGCACGCTCACCTCCACCCGAGACTCAGCCCAGAGCCTGCGCCGGAGCCCCTCACCCACTCACCCACCACCGTTCCCACCCTCGGAAGCTACACGCTGTCCCCCTGCTGTCACTTCTCTGCCTGTCTTGTTCCGGGTGAAAGGCGTGACACAGGCCGAGCTCTCCCAGGGACTCACCTCTGGCCCCAGGCGCTCGCGGGCATCTCACAGGTTCATAAATTCTCTCTCCTCCTGGAACCCGGCTCCATCTAGGGCCGGCCGGGGCTCCACCCCTGCCGTTTCCACCCTGGCGTCTCTGTGGCGTGGTCACCTTGCTCCTTCTTCCAGGCTGAAAACTCCAATCTATCTTACTGGATAAAACAGCTTCCTAGAAGAACTGAAACAGAGACACAGGAAGCGACGGTTTGAAAAGCACTTTGCACTAAGAATTTAATTCAGAGCCTCTGGGCTACATACAGCTCAGCACACACGAAATATCAAATAACCCGCCTGTCATGGGCATGGTGGGGGGTCATCGCATGAGCTGAAGGGGCTACCGCGAAAGTGACCGACCCAGGCGCTGGGCTTAGAAATAACCCTAGCTCTGGGGCTTCCCTGGTGGCGCAGTGGTTGAGGGTCCTCCTGCCGATGCAGGGGACGTGGGTTCGTGCCCCGGTCCAGGAAGATCCCACATGCCGCGGAGCGGCTGGGCCCGTGAGCCACGGCCGCTAAGCCTGCGCGTCCGGAGCCTGTGATCCGCAGCGGGAGAGGCCACGACAGTGAGAGGCCCACGTACCGCAAAATAAATAAATAAATAAATAAATAACCCCGGCTCTGAATTCCTTGGCTGTCTGCCCCTAATTACATGTCCTATTTCTTGACCCTATGTCTCCGGCTGAGGTTCCAAGACGCTTAGAAGAACGATGATAACTAACATCTGAGGGGCACGTCCTCTGTGCCTTGGCCGGGAAGCCCTCTGAGCACCTTTGTAGGACAAGCCCCAGTGGCCGTCCTGGACACAGAGGAGTAGGTGCAGAGCTGGGCGTTTAGTCACAGATTCTTGAACGATGCTCCACGTAAACGAAGAGCCTGTATAGGGTGAGTGCCACGAAATGGGAGCAGATGCTATCTTTTAATACCAAAAATGTGAATTCTTTGTATTTCAGCTGAACTTTTCATTCTGTTAGACCTTCGCGGTCTCCTAGGAGTTTCGACTCGCCCAGGAAACAACAAGAGTCGGAAGCCGATGCAAAACGCAAGAGGTTTATTGAAGGCCGGTGCACCGGGGTTCCTTGGTCCTCACGCAGGAGGTCGAAGAAGGAACCCTTTTGGGCGCGAATATGTCAGTTTTATAGGTTCCCACTGCCCCGTATGTAAATTATAGATTTGGTTGTGTTCTCCTGCTGATTGGTCCCGGCTTAGGCTCGGACCAGAGAGGGAACTTGTCCCCAGCTGCCTGATTGGTCTTTGACAGACACCTTTTTTACATTTTGTTATCTCCCTCCTTCTCCCCAGCTGCCTGATTGGTCTTTGACAGACACCTTTTTTACATTTTGTTATCTCCCTCCTTCTCGGAAGGGGGCCGGACATCCTGGAAATTCACCCATTATCTAAGAAGCCCCTATTGTCTGGAGAGTTCTTAATCATTAGCTGGAACAATGTCCCTCGAGTCCCACAATTCCCAGTTCCTCCCGGGAGCCACTGACATGCAAACCCCCCTGGCCAACTGCAGCCCCTTGGACGCAGGCTCTAAGGAACATTCCGCCCTGGTCGGCACCCAGACTGCCCCTCCCTGCCCCACTCTGCCCCCTCCCTGCCCCACTCTGCCCCCTCCCCGCCCCTCCCTGCTCCCAAGTACCAGCCAGACGTCCTGGTCCGGGTGACTTGCCTCCTTCCATGTAAGCCCCCCACCTTTGAAGTAATGTGTGCAAACATCCTAGATATGTGACTGGTTCTCTCTACGTAATGTTTTCTTGCTTGTGATCCTGAAAAACTACCAAACCCAACCCAAGAAACGAGCGTGAACGAGGTTTCTCGATAGAAGAGATTCGCTCTCCTCTTGTGAGTGTAAACAGAGCACGTGATTTCTGAGCTCCACGGAATTGGTGCTCTGCAGCCTTCGTTCCATCCTGGCCTCTATTTCCGGTATTTCGTTTCATTTTGTTTGTGGTGACAATGAAGGGTGAGGAAGGCCTCCAGAGAAGAGGAGGCCCCAGGGAAGAGGGCGAGGCACCCAGGACAGAACCCTCACCCCATCCGGCCACTGGTTCCTTGGAAACAGGACAGGATCTTTTCTTTCACTTTGGGTGTGGCTGGGACTGAAATCCTTGCAATCTGATCTTGACAAAAGCCTATAAAAGCTTAAATACAGTTCACATTTTAAAGTACCGGAAATCGTGTTATTTTTACTTTCCTTAAAAATCCCAGTTTTGTTTCAACCAAGACTTCAAAGCAAGTGCTTCCAGGGTCAGGAGTGAGCGTTTGAGGGAAATGTGAAACTGGACAAGGCCCTGCAGAACAGTCCATTCACGTCTTCCGCCGTGCTCAGGGTCTGGCCTGACGTCTGCCCCTGTCACCCTTGTCACTCCCCCGAGGCAGCCCCAGCTCCTCGTTTCTGGGTGTGGCTGACGTTTCCTCAACCCCTGACAGGGGAGGCAGGGGACGAACATCTGCTCCACTCTGTGGTTTTACATTAAAACAGATACACCACTGGACGCTGGTGGGCCATCTGCTGGAGCCTGACCAAGAGTTCAGTTTCAAGTTTCCTGGAATTAATTCTTGTGAAGGAAAGAGGCCTCAGCATGGTCTAAATGTGTTTGTAGTTAACAAGGACAAAAAGGATGGGCTGTTCAGTACATCCCTTGGGTAAATATAACAGGGTTGACAGGCATCACTTTCAAAATTTAAAATTAAAAAAAAAAGAAGAAACCCCCAAGTCTAATCTTGGAGGAAATGGATGCAAAGCACCATTACATTTACATACAGTTATAACTTGATGGCCTTAATTACTTGGTAAAAGGTTAATAGTTTGACCCTTAAAGCATCCTACATCTCAAGACCTTTTTTCAAAGATTATTCAAACGATAATTTAATAATATTGTCTGATTAATTGTACGGGGAGGGTGTTGTGTCTGCACTTTAAAAAAAAATAAATTTATTTATTTACTTTTTGGCTGCGTTGGGTCTTTGTTGCTGTGCGCGGGCTTTCTCTAGTTGCAGCGAGCGGGGCTACTCTTCCTTGCGGTGCGCGTGCTTCTCATTGCAGTGGCTTCTCTTCCTGCGGAGCACGGGCTCTAGGCACACGGGCTTCAGTAGTGTTGGCCCGCTGGCTCTACAGCACAGGCTCAGTAGTTGTGGTGCACGGGTTTAGCTCCTCCGCGGCATGTGGGATCTTCCCGGACCAGGGCTTGAACCCGTGTCCCCTGCGTTGGCAGGTGGATTCTTAACCACTGTGCCACCAAGGAAGCCCTCTGCACTTGTTTTAATTCCATCAAGGGAGCTGCAGCCTCTCACCTCATCGCCTTTGCTGACCTAATTCCTATCCTCTCATGGGGGAGGCCTTCCCTCCTGTTTCTGATCCCCACGTCTCCTCCTGCAAGGCTCCCCTGGTCCTGCCTACATCCAGTCAGAACGATCTGCACAAAGCCTCACTCGTCTCTCTGACAGCGCAGACTCCTGCTTTTCCAAGAGGCTCCCCTTGTAGTTTGGTTTTCCCAGAAGATATATTACTTTTATCTTAAGTTTCTGTCTTTTGCCCAAAGTCCTCTGGGCTTCTTGAAAGGCCTTCAGGGAATGCTGGGCGGTGCAGACTTACTGCCCAAGACCCCACGGCCAGCCTGCCCCCCCACCCCAGGAGAGCCCAGGAGGAGCCAGGAGACCCAGGGGCAGAACACGCCTCCCCCCACCCCCCAGCACTGGTTTCTTTGGCACGAGGGCCATTGTGAGCTGAAGGCGACTGGGGAGCAGCGGCTCCCTGCCCCCACTTTCCTAGAAGCAGGACAGAAATGTCCACTTGTAATGTGTCTTCCACCCCCATAGCAGGAAGAGGACGCCTCCTAGACTCTTCATCCCTGGAGACACATCCAGACTCTCTCCAGCCCAGGGAGGCACAGAGGAATCTATACGGCAAACATACGCTCTCCTTATCTGCACTTGTTTCCCCATAGGCTCTCCGTCCCAGGTTGCTGCCCTTTCCTTGTCTTGTCACTTCTCTGCAAATCCCCTGTGCTTTGCTCAAATGAGTCGAGTTCTAACCACCCCTCTGAGCTCCTCACCGCTGGATTTTCCCGAGTGTGTGTGTGTCTGCGTATGTGCGTGTGTGCACGCATCTGAGTGTCTCTCTGCGCATCTGCGTGCGTCTGTGTCAGCGTGCATGTATCTGTGTGCATGTTTGTGTCTGTGTGTGCATGTCTGTGTGCGTGTGCACGTGGGTGTCTGTGTGCATGTGCGTGCGTGTGTGTGCGTGTTTGTGCGTGCATGCACGTGTGTGTGTGTGCGTGTGTGTGTGTGATCACCTCTTAGGAGACTTTTGTTTCCTCTTGTCAATCTGTCTTTTGCAGGTTTAGCTTCCGGGCCCCAGCGCAGAACCCGGGAGCCGAGAAGAAAAGCGTTTTCCCTCCCCTGTATCCTCAACAAGCACTTCCTGTGCACTTGGGATCCTCGTGAAGGCCTGCGGGGCATGAATGTGTAAGACCGAGCGTCCTCCAGAGACCAGGCTCAGGCTGCACCTGCAGCCCTGGTGCCGCCCCTCTGCCCACGGAGGAGCCGGGCCGCAGGGCACGCTGGCTGCCGGGTCTCCAGACATGACTCCAGCTCTTCCTGGCTCTCTCCGCCACCCACACCCACCCATGTCCCCTGCGTCCCCTCCCCTCCGACAAGGCCCCTCCCAGGCTCTACCACAGGGCTACCACAGAGCAAGGGCAGGAAAAATCTCTGGGGCACAAAGCAAACCTCTGCAAGTTGGGAGAGAGGGGAAAGCAGAAGACAAACTGCTGAGAAAACTCAGGAACGATACCGCCTGCCCCAGAACGCAGCTCGGCTGCAGCCACCCAGCTCGTGTGGGGTCTCTGGGGCGTCTCACCAAGATGTCTCTGCAACGTCTGACTTCTTCCCTCTTGTTCATGTACTGAAATGTGGGTCCCTGAGTCCCCTTTTCAATGCCGATTAGTAATTTTATGAATAAAGGTTGATTTTTTCCTCATTCAAAACGGTACATGCATAGCTAACATACATCTTATAAAAAAAAAGAGAATGCATATTGAAAACATGAGTGGCATCTGATGGAACATATTTTAAAGAGTCAACAATTTGCCAACTTGGCCGATGTGGTGTTTTAGTTCCCGTTAGTTACAGATTCCCTTCAGGCACGGTCACATCAGGCCGCTGAGAAGGCTGCAAACCAGGAAACCAGACACCATCTGCTCTCCGTGCTCCCAGGCTGTCCCTGCAGAGCCTGGGCTGCAGCTGGGCCTCGGCGTGAGCCCTGGTCTGAGGCACACGTGCACGTTCTCAGCAAGAGAAGCAGCACAGGCTCTGCTATTCGTCTTGGCCTAGATTTTCTAACAGATTAGGCCTCTGTGTCTCTAGACAGGAGACTGCACTCTGTGACTTACTGTAATAAATTCTATTTTATTCTCACATTCACACACCCCAAAGCTGCAGGCATGCTGTAAGTGAATCAAACACAGCAAATAATAATTAACCCTGCAGAGAAATTTATGTGTGTATTAGCATAGCCAGGAGTCTCAGAATCTTTTGACATTTAAAAAATCTAATATGAATTTCGTTAGTTTTCTTTTGCCCTTCACTCACATGGACTTCAATTTTTACAAAGTGCGGATTTCACATTTCAAATTATGAGGCTCTGGTGCACCAAATACCCACCTACATCGAGTAGCGCACTCTTTTCTTCGTTGAGGTGGGTTGTCTGGTTGTGCTGTTTGTTGTGTGGTTGTGTTGTGTGGTTGGTTGCATATTTGCTTGTGTGGTTGGCTGGTTGGTTGTGTGATTGGCTGGTTGAGTGGCTGTATTGTTGGTTGGTTTAGTTGGTTGTGTGGTTGGTTGGTTGTGTGACTGGCTGGTTGAGTGGCTGTGTTGTTAACTGGTTTAGTTGGTTGTGTGGTTGATTGGTTGTGTGATTGGCTGGTTGAGCGCCCGTGTCACTGGTTGGTTTAGTTGGTTGTGTGGTTGATTGGTTGTGTGATTAGCTGGTTGAGTGGCCATGTTGTTGGTTGGTTTAGTTGGTTGTGTGATTGATTGGTTGTGTGACTGGCTGATTGAGTGATTGATTGGCTGGTTGAGTGGCTGTGTTGTTGGTTGGTTTAGTTGGTTGTGTGGTTAGTTGGTTGTGTGATTGGCTGGTTGAGTGGCTGTGTTGTTGACTGGTTTAGTTGGTTGTGTGGTTGCTTGGTTGTGTGATTGGCTGGTTGAGTGATTGATTGGCTAGTTGAGTGGCTRTGTTGTTGGTTGGTTTAGTTGGTTGTATGGTTGGTTGGTTGTGTGACTGGCTGGTTGAGTGGCTGTGTTGTTGGTTGGTTTAGTTGGTTGTGTGGTTGGTTGGTTGCTCCTTTGTTTCTAGGACCCCAGCTGCTGAATTAATCATGCTGCTCACTTTACCCCACATGACCCCTCCTGCTGTGTGCGAGCTCTCTGGCTATTGTCATTCATCCTCTTTTCCCCACTCCCTCTCCCCTCTCTACCATGTGTCTTTTTACTTGAACACATTCTTGCAAAATTTCTGCTATTGTTTTACGAGCATGCATTTTTATGAAAACGTTTCTTACTTTTCCTCTTAGCACTCCACCTGTGAGGCTACATGTCCATCTGATTTGTCGCTTTCAACACGCACACTATGGCCTGGTCCGTAGGTGGACGCCAAGCAGCCTCCTGCTTGCAGCCACCACCAGCAGCGCCAACGCGAGGATCTTCGTGCATGAGCTCAAGGACCCACGTGAACCTCCTTGAGTGACGCGCCTGAAGGCAGAGCGGCAGAGTCATAAGCGAGGCCTGTGCTTGTTTAAAGTAGTGCTTGGACCCTCTCCAGGCTGTCCTGTCCTGCCCACCCGTCCTGCAGCCGTGCACAGCCCAACACCCTCTCCAACACCTGGCCCGACCCAGCTGTCTAAACTCTCCTGGTTGCTTTTGTTTTTTCTCCCATGAGACTTACAAGTTCTGTGTGCTCAGCTCTGGGATTTCTGTGCAGTTTGCTTCCAGTGCTTTGGAACGGACGGTCCTCCCGGGTTTGACTGCCCGTCCTGTTTTTGTTACTCTCAGCTCCTGGTTCCTGTCTCCTTCTTCTGGTCCACAGCCCCTCGAGCCCTGCCCTCCCTCCACACGACCTGCACTGAGTCCCCGGCCTCCAACCACTCATCCACTCAGTAAGGTTCATCGAGTCTTGCTGTGCACCAACCCCCCGACCACAGTACTGAGGACAGAATGTAAACAGCAGACCTCCTGGAGGGCCCTGGCATCTGCAGGCGGGCATAGTGGGACATCACACAGACACACACACAGTTAGACGTGGTAAGAGCCATGAAGGACAAGTTTGGGGGCTGGCAGAGCTGGGGACTAGCTGGGAGCCCTGGGGTGTGATGAGGAAGTGGCCTGAGGGATGCGCTGCAAGCAGAGAACAAGGGAGACACCCTGATGCCATGTTGTCAGGATGGGAGCCTTGCTCTTAGCTGCACCTGGTTCCATCCAGGGAACCTCTGCTTTTTCTCCTCCAGAGACTCAAGCTCCGTCTTTGCAGGGATAAGAAAGGTGCAGTCACTGGGCGGCACAGAGCTGCGGAGGGGCCTCAGGGGTCAGAACCTCTTAACTGACCATTAAAGGATCCTCCTTATTTCAGTGGTGACCTTCACCTTCTCTACAGAACCTGATGTTGCCAAATCTTGAGCGTCTGGGCTTAGTCAGCTTGGGCTGTGTCTTAGTCTGTTCAGGCTGCTGTAACAACGTACCACAGACTGGGGGCTTATAAACAACAGATGTCTGCTTCTCAGTCCTGGAGGCTGGACATCCAAGATCAAGGTGTCAGCAAGGTGTAGTGGTGAGAGCTTCCTCGTTCATAGATGGCGTCTTCTCCCTGTGTCCTCACGTGGAGGAAGGGCTGGGGGCCCTGTGGGGTCTCTGTTAGAAGGACACTAATTCCATTCATGGGGGCTCTACCTTCATGACCTCCCAAAATGTCCCCCCCAAAACCATCACATGGGGGCTAGGATTCAATACATGAATGTTCGAGGGACATAAACATTCAGACCATAGCAAGTTGCTGTAATAAAACACCATAGATGAATTTGGGGTGGCAGCGGGGACAATCAGCTCATAACATGGGCTATTCTTCTGAGTAAACTGTGTTGCTTCTTGTTTTTTGCACCAATAGACCAGGACTAGATTTTCCAGGTCTGCCATCCCCATCACTGTAAGTCGTGAATTTGTGCCTTTAAAAAACCTCTTCACTGTGTTTTGGGAGGACTTCAGAGGGAGAGCGAGCTGTCTGTAAACATCTGAACACCAATTCTGAGCTTTCTTCCACGACGTCCATTCCCGTCAGCCTTGCATTTGCATCGGGGACAGCTGACCGGTCCAGCTTCTGCACAAGACACTCACGTCTGTCCCGAGCACAACTGAACCCTTAGCCTGTTCCCATCGAGCATGGTGGGCTGGGGCCCCATGTGACCTAGAAGGAGGGAGGGTGGGGGACGTCTGGTCTATGGCTGTCTGCGTTCACACCTGGCGTCCGACCAGGCCCCTTGGCCACTCCTCCTGTGAGGACAGGTGCCCCAAGAAACGGGCAGGCTCAGGACCTTTGTGCACGACGCCCCCTCCAGGCAGGCCTGGCTCTGAGGAAGAGCCCATCTCTGTTCTCCCCAAATTGTGGGCAGGGGGGAAAATAATTCTGACCTTTGGCCACATCGGTCTGTCCCGCCCCTGTGAGACCCTCTTCCTGATGAGCCCAAGGACAGGGTGGATTGCTGGGACTGCAGCGGGTGAGAGGTAACATTTGGTTTCCGTCCCAAGTTCCTGACACAAGAGCCTCAGATTCTCCAGAGTGATGAGCGACTTTTTATAAGTAACGAGGTGACTGCTGGTGAGGCCCCAGGGCTTCAGGATGGGGGCTGGTGGCCAGAGGAACCCTCCTGTGATTACAGGGTTGGAACTTTCAGCCCCACCCCGACCTCCCTGCGGAGAGCAGAGGGGGAGAGAAAAGATCTCCTCCTCCCCACCTCCCTCCCCATGCTTTCCTTAGGGTTACGTCATTGCTCTCTTTAATGCTTACATTTTTCCAAATCTGGCCACTGGGAGACTCTTGAAGCTGGCTTTTCTGTCATTTTGATAAGTCCTTTTACATTTTTGAGCATTTACTTGCTTCCTGGAACAAGATACTCTGGACTCACCTTGTACTTTTCCTGCTCCACGCCTGGAACCGGCCATTTCTCCAAGGAGCCTCGTTAATTCCGGGCAGAAGGTGGGCAGCAGTCATTGTTAAACTCTGCCTCTCAGGAGCCCCTGACATGCTGGAAAGGTATTGAGGACACTGTGAGCTGTGCTTGTGTGTGTATGACTATAAACATTTACCACACTAGAAATTAAACAGAAATTTAAAAACATGTATTCATTCATTTTAAAAGAACAATAATAAACCCCTCATATGTTAACACAAATAATGCATTTCAGTGAAAAATAACTATACTTTTCAAAACAAACTCTTTAGCAAATTGACTATAGAATGGGAAGAGAGAGGAAGGAGTATGTTAATATTCCTTCCTGATAATTATGGATGCTTTTTATACAACAGCCAACCTCAGCAAGTTGAGGTTTCTTTTTTTTTAATTTAAATTTATTTAATTAATTTATTTTTGGCTGCGTTGGGTCTTCGTTGCTGCACGCAGGCTTTCTCTAGTTGCGGTGAGTGGGGGCTACTCTCCGTTGCGGTGCGTGGGCTTCTCATTGCGGTGGCTTCTCTTGTTGTGGAGCACAGGCTCTTGGTGCGCGCGCTTCCGTAGTTGTGGCACGCGGGCTCAGTAGTTGTGGCTCGCGGGCTCTAGAGCACAGGCTCAGTAGTTGTGGTGCATGGGCTTAGTTGCTCTGCAGCATGTGGGATCTTCCTGGACCAGGGCTTGAACCCATGTCCCATGCATTGGCAGATGGATTCTTAACCACTGTGCCATCAGGGAAGCCCCGATGTTTCTTAAAGGTTGGTGGCAGCTGGAATATGAAATCATGTCAATAATTGTGATGGATATGAGGTTTCCAAAATTCAAGGTTTCAAGTGAAGATCTGAATTTTATCACTGGCAACAAGTACTATCAGTACGCATTATCTATCACACAATATATAACATAGTTATCTCTCACACATATATAACGTTGTATATACGCTGCGTGTAATACACAATACTGTATTTAACATATAATGCGTGTATGTGTATAAATATAATTTGTCTTTAACCATTGCAGATGTAAACTCAGGATGGGTTCCTAGGCACGAGCCCTTGCTGGGTTATTTCTAGACCACCTTCCGCAGTGCCCTGCGTCTCCCACCAGCCACGCGGTGACCCTCTTATCCCTCACAGCCTCATCAGCAAAGTTTTTGTTTGTGGCTAAGTGTTTGAATTTCTTTGCAGTCTGATTTGTGAGAACAGTTCAAGCAAACTTTTTTTTTAAATAATTAAAAAACAACATTTATTTATTTATTCAGCTGTGTTGGGTCTTAGTTGCAGCACATGGGATCTTGTTGCAGCACGCGGGCTTCTCTCTAGTTGTGGCGTGCAGGCCCTAGAGTGCACGGGCTCAGTAGTTTCCACGCGTGGGCTTAGTTGTCCCGTGGCATGTGGGATCTTGGTTCCCAGACCAGGGATTGAACCCGCGTCCCCTGCATTGGAAGGTGGATTCTCAACCACTGGACCGCCAGGGAAGTCCCCAAGCAAACTTTTGGTTCTGCGTATTTCCCCTCCCCGGGCCAGCCAACCGAAAACTTGTCACGATTGTGTTTTTCATTGTTTTCCTTCTCATCTGCATTGATGACGCTAGTGTGCCCCTCCACCAAAAAGCTGCTCAGCTGGGCTAAAAAGAATCAAACATTCGAGAACAAGGACAACAAGCCTTTTCAGAGCATCTGCGCCCTCCCCCAGCTGGGTGGCCTGCGAGCGCCCAGCTCCTCCCCGCCTGGGGGTCTCCATCCGTCCTGACACCAGAATGTCTGAACCAGGACCGAATGTCAGGTGCGCCCCGTGAGCCCCATGCACCCTGCTGTAGGTTCCCCTGCAACACGGCGCTGTCCACATCCCTGGCTCTGTCTCTTCCTGCTACTGCTGTGACATCACAGGTGCTCAGGACTGGATGAAATGGAGGGAATTCTGCCTGCTGGTCCTTCCTCTTTCTTCCCAAGAGCACAATTATCCCTTATTTGAGAGGGTGTCTTCTTTCAGTCTCTGCCCACAGTTCCCCCGACTCTGTAGGGAGCTCCACATCTGGATTCGGTGGCGGAGACTCGCCCCCACCCCGGCCCTGACCCCATAATTGTGGACCCAAGACCCTGTGCTTAAGGCGGACCAGCATTTGCCCTTGGCTTGAACAACACAACGGCTCAACCTGCATCGCCGTGCATCGCAGATGGAGGGAGGGCCCGCACCACATCTCCAGGGGCTGTGCTTTCTCAGCCCCAGGGGTGCAGGCCTCGCCTGGCGGGAAAGAATGAGACTGGCTTGCCCTGACTTCTCGGGGTTCCATGGTGTCACTCATGGGCCCGGAAAGCGTGGTGGGCCAGCCCTGAGGAGAGGCTCCATCATCCCCTCTGCTGTGGGGCAGCCAGAGCCCCTTCCAGCCTCTCTGAGCACCGGGCACCATGGACCAGACCTCTCTTCCCCAGCCCCCCTCCTCACCTCCTGGGCCTCAGTGCTCTGTTTGCCTCTTTCTTCTCTGTTCTCCCACCGCCCATATGGACGCACCTGCGAGAGCCCTAACCCCTGGGTGACTTTGGGGGGAGATTAAGGTCCGATAAGGTCACAGGGTGGATCCTGCTCTGATGGGGGTGCTGGGGTCCCCTCTCCCCACAGAGGAAAGGCCATGTGAAGACACAGAAGGTTTGTCTCCAGGCCAGTAAGAGGCCCCACGGGACCGGCCAGGCTTGTGGCCTAGGACTTCAGCCTCCGGAATGGAGGGGATCAACGTCTGTCTGGCACCTGGTGGCCCGCAGGAGACGCCGGCTTCTTCGTGAGGCATCCTGATGGCTGGCCTGCCATCCCTGGGCCCTGCAGCCAGGCTGCCCTTTTTCCTCTTCCTCACCCGCCATCACCCCGCTCGCTCCGAATGATTAAATGTGGGCCAAGTTCTACTCATGAGCAGAGCGGGCAGGAAACTGTCCTTTTCCTATTGTCAGTTTGCCAAGGCCCACTTCAGCCAAATCAATACTATTAAATCACCCTTCACGTAACAACAGCTGCAATGGGGTATCTATTCCGTGGAGTCCTCGGGTTCACACTCAGAGTCTTCAGGGGACAGATGACCAGGAAGGGGAATCATACGTGCAGACTTTTCTTTTCCAGGAGTTTTAAGAGGGCTTCGCACAGCATTTCATCCGTGGCCTCAGTGCTGGAGACGCAGGTGTGACAAGGTGACCTGGGCTCCGTCTTCAGCTCTGGACTTGGCCCAGGTCTTCAGGCTCCGTATAACCCTTGTCAGCCCACGTGGCACTGACGATCCACACACTGCCCACCTGCACCAGCACATTTTCTGCCGAAAAACAGACTTTCCCCTAAAAGGCAGCACAAACACCCCTCTTCAGCACCCATAAGATGAGGGATCCCCGAAGCAGCCCCGATGGATGTGCCGGGGTGAGAGATCCCGCAGGCGGGCAAGGGGCAGTTCACCCCACACAGGGCTCGGCCACTACCGTGCGGTGGGCAGTCTATCTGTCTGCAGCGTTGGCGCACAATCCTTTTCCCATCTTTGGTCGTGGTCTCCCGGTATTTCCCCCTCACCACCTGATGGTGACTCAGCAACACGACTGACGTTGCCATGGGGATTGATTTTCAGAAAAGGTGAACAGTTCTTGGCACAAAATGAGGTGCTACCTCCCCCATGTGTACGACAGACATGGCACTCCTGAAATATGCAGGAAATAGTGCAGTTGTGTGAAAACCGCCTTGTGTTTATACATGAAAACGGAGGTGGTGCTGAGCTCAGATCGCTGTAAACAGCTTTCTCACCTGCATACCTGTCGCTGGAACACCTGCAGGTCAGGTGGCATCTGAGGAAACTGCACGAGGGCCGTCCTGCATGGTGGTTGGTCTCCTCCCCCTCTCCTAAACGCCGACTGGCCACCTGATTTCTCTGATGTCCAGAGAGTCCCCCCAGGTTACAAGGCTTCCCTTGCGGGGTTCAGTCCCCCAGGAAGAGCTACTGCAAGGATCCGTTAGGAACTAATATTCTTTGGGAGGAGAAATATTTTTACAAAGTTCAGCACCTCCTTTAATACGGTTTCAGTTTCCTTCCCTCGAACACATAACCTTTTACTTAATAAATTCAAGTAAAATGAGCTGAAATGTCTATCAGTTTTAAAGACTCATCTTCGTTTGAGTCTTTTATTATAAAATTCTTCCCAACCATCAGCATGGCTATCATCCTTCCAGGCCTGTCATGTTCAGCAAAATTAACCATCTTTGTTTTTGTGTGGTGGGACTTAGGGAGTAATATTTTACTTCCTTAGTTGTACTTTTTTGCATTGCTTTAATTTTTAACAGTATAAAAATAGCATTTCTTAAAAGCAATAAACAGGGAGTTCTTTGAGCCTCCAAGGTGCCAGCCTGGGGGGCTGCCTTGTGCGCAGGTGCCGTAGGGGCTGGGCCACCTGAGCCTGCTCGGACCCAGGACTCCCCTGGTGCCGTCAGCCTTGACCCTTGGCTGCTCCGGGACACTTGCCCCCGTCCTGCTGGCTGGAGTCGTGGTCACCTTGGCTCTCTGGCGGCTCGTCTTCGGTTCTGGCTACATCGCTTCACCTGGCTTTGCCCTTTCCTGCTGGGAGTGTTCTCGAAACAAAGTCCTTAAAATCAATCCACTGCACGGCCTCCACCGGTTTTCCTCTGGAGCACTGGGCTGGGATTAACCTTTCAGGTCCGAGCCTGGCGCCAAGTGCAGCAAAGCCAGCCTTGCCAGGGACTATCTCTGACGCTCCCTCAGGCGCTGTACTGTCAGCGTCCACTCAGACCTGTGGAAGACCCCGCTCACTCCTGTTGATCTGCTGGGGTTTTGGTCATGACTCACCCATGCGGCAACAATGCACAGCAGCTGGCTGGCCCCAGGGCACAAATGGGACACTGGCTCCTGTTCATCCGTGTAGCCCAGCACCCAACACAGCCCTGGGATGTTTCTGAATCACAGATGATAAGTGCATCAACTAATGGGGCCATATTTAGGGGGACAGTCAGGTACAAGGATGGTGCCAGGGTCCAAAAGGCCATTTCAGGACGCTCCCAAGCCACTAAAGAAAGTGACAACTGTCTAAGACCAGGATATCA